GCACTAAAAATTAGTACTAATTAACTCACTGATTTTATTTAAATCGTCCCTCCGTAAATTATACAGTCCTTTCTACGAAAATAGGATTTGAGATCTCGGACAAGTGTGAGTCATCACCTAGACCCCTGATTGGCTTTGACATGGGAGGAACTTCCACTGATGTGAGTCGTTACGCTGGTTCTCTGGAACATGTGTTCGAGTGCACCACTGCTGGAGTGACTATCCAGGCACCCCAGCTGGACGTGAACACGGTGGCTGCAGGAGGAGGCTCCAGACTATTCTTCCGGTCGGGATTGTTCACTGTGGGACCAGAATCTGCCGGCGCACATCCTGGACCAACTTGCTATCGCAAGGTTAGGTTTTCGTTGTTGTCTAGTATATCCAATTAGGCCACAGATTCGCCGACTAAATAATAATTCTATCACTTGGATTTTCCGAGTAGGTTTAAGTTAAAGCAAAGCTTGTGTCCTAATCGAATGTTGGGAACCCTTTAAAATTCTGTTGATTAAATCGATGTGTTGAAACCTTTTGGCCTTGTTGAGTTCAAGACGAAGTCGTGGCCTTAAAATCTTCAGATAAATAGTTTTTGGATCAAAAATTGAAATATACGGAACTGAGTTGATTCTATGCTTGTTTTTTTTCTAAGGTGGAATCCTCTTGAGATCCTTTCTGTGGTTTTGGCATAGTTTCCATCGGGGTAAATTTTTCGTAATATTCTTCAGTAGCCAGTATATCAAAAAATGAGAACTATTAAACACTGGTTATGACTACAATTTCTACCCTGATGATTCAAAAATTTCTCAAAACGCATTTCGATTTTCTACATGGCCTGAAAGTCACTGAATCGCACTGTTTTGGAAACATTTTCTGTCCTTGCGGAATGTTTTCATTCGATATTGCTGCTATTGAATTAAGAGCTATTTTTTGTTATTTGACTCAAAAATGTTTAGGGGGGTCCTCTGACTATAACTGATGCGAATTTGGTGCTGAATAGACTGGACCCGCAGTACTTTCCCAAGATATTCGGACCCAACTGCGACGAGCCTCTGAGCCGAGACGCGAGTGTGGAAGCATTCGTGAAACTTACTGAGGAGATTAACTCCCAGATAGCCCCACAGGTGTTGACAATGGAGCAGGTGGCGCTCGGCTTCGTCAAAGTTGCAAATGAGGCCATGTGTAGACCCATCAGGGCTCTCACTCAAGGTCAGCTTCAAGTTCTTATATGAGAAGTTGCACGATCTAAGGATCTATGAGTCTTAAAGGATATTTTTGCGACAGCTACGTTAAGTTGCACATTGCATTTTGAATTGAATTTGAATTTAGATACAGTTTAGAGAACATTAATGAACTAACAAACTGCATCAGGGTTACTGTACGGAAACCTAGGTAAATAAGTGAAGGCAAAAACAGAGTTATTAGAGTTGCACCCTTGGATACCACATGTAATCATCGTATTAGCATGTCAACAAGCAATCGATTGTCATGCAGGTATATGTTTTTAAGTTTGTCGAAAATTTTTTTCTTTTGCTTGTCAGAATATTCGCTAAGGTTGAGGGGTAACAAATCGTTTGACATCAAAAAGTTGAAACATTTCAAAGTTTTGTAAGACACCGAATATAGAGCTAATTTTGTTTTTCTTAAAGTTAGTGACAAACATCCTAAAATACTAGTGACAAAATCCTAAACTACCCCTGCGCGTGAGTCTACCCATCTTTCTTGATTGAAGGTTTAAAAAGTGTTAGGGGGACACTTCTAAGAACTGAAACATTGCCTCAGAACTTAATTGGCTGATGAACATTTCATACACATTTTACAGCTGATATTTTGAAAAATACTCGGTCAGATGATCATACTTGCGAAGGAAAAAAATAGTTCTTATAACTTTTTTCTGTAATAAGAAAATTTTATCAAGATTTGTTTTCGAAGTACATCCGTACGCTATCAAGCCATAGGAAATTATCGGAATCACGTATGCTTTTTAAAACTTAACTAATGACTGCTTGGAGAAGCATGATCTTCCTCTGTGCTAAACACAATTGAATTTGGACGCCTTTTTGCAAAGTTTTTCAGTTTCATCATTAACATTCAGTTTTTTGTCAACTTCAGTACCCAAATATTTAGAACTATCCATATTTTCCATAGTTTGGCCAGCAATTGAAATTTTGGAATACGATAGGTCTTTTCCAAAAGCCATTAGTTTACTCTTGTCTGTATTAATCGATAGCTTGTTGACATTGCACCAGTCATTTATGCTCTGGACATCTTTGCTGACTTCTTTTATAAACATTGGTGTTTTCTCAGAACCTACAGTTGCAGTGTCATCAGCAAAAAGACTTATTTCAGTTACTTCATTCATAATTGAAACATCATTGATATATATTAAAATCAATAAAGGACCCAAAACTGAGCCCCGTGGCACTCGACAAGGTATTTTTTCTAAAGACGGATTTATGGTACCATCAGTCACATATTGTACCCTGTTCGTTAACTAGTTCTGTAACAAATTTAAACATTTCCCACGAAAACTATATTTCTCTAATTTAATGATTAAAATATCGTGGTCAACAGTGTCAAATGCTTTTTTAAAATCCAGAAAGGGGGCCATTCCATATTATTTTTGCTTCGAAACTGTGCGGATATATTCAGTTATCCGTGTAATTGCATGTACACAAAAGTGCTTTGGTCTGAACCCAAATTGTTCAGGACAAAGTATTTTGAATTTCCGTAAAAATTTCATCATTCGTCGCTAAATAAGTTTTTCAAAAAGTTTGCTATTTAATGAAAGAAGGCTCATTGGCCGGTAATTATTAAAATCAATATCTTTTCTACTTTTGAACAAAGCGATTACCTTGGCAGTTTTGCAAATATCAGAAAAAGTCTCTGTGATGAACATTTCATTAAAATAAACAACCATGAGCTTCATAATGACTGGTGCACAAAGTTTAAACATCATTTTACTCAACCCGTCATGAACAATCGAATCTTTGTTTTTTCAATTCTTATTAATTTTGCCATTTCGTCAATGTCAGTGGGAAAGAAAACAAAATCCTTGCAATTGCGAGAGATTCTATCAACATATTTGAAATCGCCAATTTTTTTGAAGGTTGAGGTCCAATGGTTACAAAATAGTTATTCAAATCATTCGCCTCCAACTTTTTTGAACTAGTTTTCTCTTTTCCACAAAACTTAATAAAAACTTGAACCATCCTTTTTGAAGCATTAGAGTTACCCAATTCATTGTCAGAAAATTTTTGCTTTTCTATGGCAATTTGTTTTTTGGTTTCATCCTCAATTGTTTGAACTTTTTTTTTTATTCATCATCGGGAAAAATAATCATTTTTTATGCACAGTACCTCTATTTTTGCACAGTTTTCTATTATTTTTAGTTATCCATGTTTTTTTGATACCGACTAATTTAGATGGGCAAATCCTATCGAAAACATTGATCATTGACCGAATTAAAAACTGAATTTTTAAATTCACGGATTTATCTGCGCTCAGTTTTTCCAATTCGATATGTAGGAGAAATAGTAGTTCGAGTAGGTTGTCGTCACGATTCAGTATTTTAACATTTCTGGCATAACAAACAGTTTAATCAGCTTTAGCGATAGTAAATGACAAATCACCAAACAATGCGTTGTAGTCACTTATTGTTGATTTAATAATTGTCACTCAAAAAAATCTTCTGATATCCAATCATCAATGCAGGTAGCACTATTTTTAGTGACTCTGGTTGGTTCACTCAAGAAAATTTCCCACAATTATAGGTATTCCTTTTAAAAATCGAAGTTCATTCAAGAGACTATCCAGATTTTCTAAAAATTTTAGACACGTGATCAGGTGGTCTGTAGACAACGCATTTATTGAACTTAGTTAAATTGCTGCAAATAGTTATAGCTAGATATTCCAAATCTGATTTCAGATCTTGAAGAATAAATTCAACTCCAGTTTTTACAAAAAGCTACACCACCGCCCCTTTTTCCCTATTTTTAAAAACCCCTTTCTGATAACCATCCAACTGAAACATTTCCGAACAATCTTTTTCGGTCAACCATGTTTCGCATAAAGCTATGACTAAAGGTTTTTCTTGAGTGACTCAACCAAAACACAAGGCTAGTCATGATGTAACCTAAGTGATCTTATGTTAAGAAAAAAAACGCTCTCATTTCCCTCAGTATTTGCCTCCATTCAGTTTCCCAAATCCAACAAAATTAACGCAATAAATTAAGTGGTTGAGTTAAGGTTAAGTTTAGTTGTATGTTGAAAGTATTTTACTCATCGTTTTTGTTTCATATGACTGCATAGTACCACCCACGAATCCTTTAATGAAATCCAATAAGGCATTATCATCATCCATATGCTTGACCAATTCACTTTTCAGAGTTTGCATTTCTTCGTTAGTTGTAGATGCTGGCGATGGTGAAACTTGAAAGTGAAAACGCTTTTTAGCCGGTGTTATATTGTCTTTCAAAACCTTACTATACAAACTTTCCGAATTAATTTTTAGCTGACCTGATGGTGTTGACTTTGCTATCCGCAGTGTTGCTTAGGCTCTCCAACTCCTCCATAGTATCCACCTTGACACGTTTAAAATTTCCTCCGATATCTTTAACTTTCACAAAAGGAGGAGAGTTCCATGTAAAAACAATCATGCCGCTCGATTCAGCTTATATTTTCAATCCCGAATCATGTTTTGATAACCTTTCGTTAATATATACCGGTTTATTGTTGCACGGGTTGACAAAATTTCAAAGCAGAGGTTTTCGATTCCAGAGACTATTTTTTTGTCAAATTGTATAAATTTCGCAAAAATTGGAGGCGGTCTGTTGAAGTACTTAACAGGATACAAAGGGTGGCAAGCCTTGAGATTGTTTTCTGTAACCGATTTATTCAGCACTTTTGAACAAGAATATGATATGTCTCCGATTAAAGTCCCAGTAATTCCCAGGGGCAAGTTGTTGAATATCTGAATCCTTGGAGTTATATCTCTCTAGTTCATTCGTTTTAATACTAAGCTGTTGCACACTGGATTCTAGTTGAATAACAGATTTCGTAATTTCCTTGTTTTCTTCAATCAATAGTTGGAATAATTCTTTAACATTTGGGTCTAAATTCGCTGAATCCAAATTTGTTTTCACGTTTTCTGCAGTTATTTCTATTTGACACTTGAAATTCAGACGTAAATAATTGCTTTCGTTTGCTCGAAAATTGAAGCGATCATTTTCATTGCTCTTTTTCTATTTAATAAGTTTATCACAACAATTAGGCTTCGGGATCGGCGAAGTTTGGCGCTGCGGCGGCAGAGAGGTGAATGAGGTTCAGCTTGGAGGAAAAATCAAGAGATGAATTGCGCGAGTGACTCGGTGTCATTTTGGCTTCGAGAGATACAAATGGGTCCTTCCACATCTCCTTCAGGTCATTCTTGAGATAGGCGACTATGTCGAGCAAAGCAGGTTGGGCCTGCTGGAAGATATCTGAGCACAGAGTGGCTCACACTAGTCCTATTTAATAAGTTTATCACAGCAATTAGGCTAATGAAAATTTGCTCATGAAAATGTTTCAGTTAAGCTCAATTTTTTTATCAAAAGATTCAAATGATTTTTGGGTTGTTTTTCTTAGCATTGGGCTCAAGATGAAGCCTTTTGAATAAAGTAAAAATTTTAATTTCATTTACAAAAGAGGGAAACTTTTGACAGACGAGCGGTTCTGCGCTTAGCGGAGAACCGCTGTTGTACCGCTGCTTAGAAACCATTTCGCAGACAATGAGTACGGATCATTGTGGGTCTTGAACCAGTTATCTTTTGACTGAGACGCGGAGGCCTAAGACACTTCAACGTCGCTGCTCTTCCTTAAAATCACAAGTGAATTTAATAAAAAGTGCATAAAACAGTATACTTCTAAAACTTGTTCCTGTGGCGCATAATTTTTGACGAAATCGGAAAAATTCTTCTATAAATTCTTCAGGAAAATTTCTTCAGGAAAAATTCCGTCTATAGGCTGATTTTTTTTGTTTTTTTTTCTGGAAAAATTCTTAAAATATTGATGAACTTAGGTATATATGCACTTTTTGAGTTCGATTGAAATTCATTGGCTGAAAATGACCTAAATAGCACTCTCCAAATACAAACGTGCAAATGGCGCAAAATTTCGTGAACGATTTCTAGTTTTGTAAATGGGATTTAATTTTTAGATTTCCAGCGGAATGAAAACTTTACCTGTTGATCTAGTTTTTTCAAGTTGGGTTAACGTTATCAAAAAGTACCCGATCGTAGCTCGTTCTAGAAGTTCAAAGAGCTTAAAGGGCATCTATTTTTTTCTTTGGATTTGAAAGTTGAGATTTTTTCAACAACTTCAGTGTTTTTTTTTTAATCTTCAATCGGTTATGTTTCAATTTATTGGTCCACTAATATATTAAGAGTCGATGAACGTATTTTAGATCCTTATATAGGTCGTGATGATTTTTTTTTTCATTTTTTTTTTCAAGAAAAATCTAAAAGTTTGCTCAGGTTCAGATTTATTTTTTGGCCGTTTGTTTTGATTTGTTGTTAAAGTTAATTCTTTACTTTTGTTAAAAGGCAGACAAAATTCACTATCGAACAGCAAAACATTAAAGCACGATAAGACGTAATCGACTTCTAACTTTGAAAATGGCATTTAATTATCAGATTTCCAAGCGATAGGGTCATAGTTAGTTCTAGAAATTCAAAGAGCTTTAAGTCCATATATATATTTTTTTAAAAGTCGTTTTTTTCTATTTCCTTGCTTTCTTTTCCTTGACTCTTTTCGAACTGTCTGTTGACTATGTTTTTATTTTTCTTTAATAACAGTTTACGTTTGACGCTCAGGTAAGGGCTACGACACAAGCAAACACGTGCTGGCCTGTTTCGGGGGAGCTGGCGGACAACATGCCTGTGCCATAGCTCAATCCCTTGGCATGGACCAGATAGTGGTGCACAAGTATGCTGGCATCCTCTCCGCATTCGGAATGGCCATGGCTGATGTTGTCGTGGAGTCACAGCAGCCGATGAATGTTGCATACGACGCTTACAGTTTCGAGCAACTCAAGTCGAGTTTCGAGTCTCAGATTAGAGAAAAGGCAACATAGTGATGTTCATTGAGTATTGAATTCCAAATTAAGATTGATTTTTATGGTGTTATAGCATATTGCGAATGCTGAAAACATTGTTCAATTTAACATCACTTTAGCGAAACTGATTCGTTGTGGGTTTTCAATATTTTTTAACTGCTTCTCAAAATTTCGTTTTTTCGTCAACAAAAGATAATTTTTCCAGATTTTCATTAAACATTTAATTTCAAAAAAAAAATGAAAAAGAAACTAAGGACGAACACCACTGAATAGGCGATACCCAAACTCAAATCACAAGGATTTGCAAGCAGCAATATAGAAGTCGAATTGTACCTCAATTTGAGATACGACAAAACAGACTGCAGTCTTATGGTTCCCGCTTTCGACAAATCAGTTTTGACTGAGAAAATTCGAATCACCACTGAACTATTGAGTTCGTTCAAAGAAAAGTTTGCTATAAAGTACAAGTCAGATTTTGGGTTTTCGTTACCAGACAGGGAAGTAATCGTAGACGATGTTCGAATTCGTGCAATTGGGAAAACTCGATTGGCTGACGAAACTAGCCAATCAGGAGTCGTGAAAAATAAAACCTCAGAATTGAACGTTCAAAAGACCTTAGATTGTCATTTTAAAGAAGGATGTCTAACCACGAGTGTTATTTTCATCGATGACATTCCATTTCATAAAGAAATCACTGGACCAACTGTTATAATTGATAAATTAAATACGATTCTAGTCGAGCCTAATTGCTCGGCTATTTTGGACGAGTCGGGCAATGTTGTGATAAACGTTAAGAAGGAAACATCGACCGAAGATTATTTGAAACGAGATTTGAACAAAGTCGATTTCGTGGAACTGTCAATATTTTCGCATAGATTCATGAGCATAGCGGAACAAATGGGCCGTGTGTTGCAGAAAACGGCAATTTCTACGAATATAAAAGAGAGACTGGATTTCTCGTGTGCGATGTTCGGCCCAGACGGAGGATTAGTTGCCAATGCACCACATATACCAGTGCATCTGGGTAGGATCTTCATCTATGACATAATTGTTTTTGTGTGTTTCTCGTCCGTTTAAATCATGGCACAACCGGTTTTAATCTCAGAAAAAGAATTTTTTTTAATTCAAAATTTTCAAATTTTTTTTAAAAATATTTTTTTTTAAATATGGACCATTACTAGGCCAAGTTGTGCACTGGATAGGCGCGCAATTTCGTGTTTGTAGGTTTCTGAAATTCAGAGACAAGTCTTTGAACATGTTAAAGTTTTGTCGGAATGACCTAAGAAAACGAGCCCCAAAATCGTCTACTGTCCTTGTTCTGGAAACAATTCAATCCTTGGTTTAATCTGTTTTTGGAAAAATGGTTCAAATTTTTTTTTTGCTCAGGGGCGTGATCTTGACGGGAAATTGCCCATTGATGACCTCCCATGTTTGTTTGTTAACTTGGAAACTATTTTATTAGGATTTATTTTTATCTATTATTACTTTTTGCATAAATCCAGGGGCGATGCAGGAGACTGTGAAGTACCAGATGGAAGCACTGAAGGGTGATTTGTATGAGGGGGATGTGATACTGACCAACCACCCCCTGTGTGGAGGCAGCCACCTCCCAGACCTCACTGTCATCACACCTGTGTTCTCCCCCAATCAACCAGCTGAGGGGGGCGAAGAGAGTGGCAAAGGAGGAAGATCCAATGGGCAGCCAGTGTTCTTCGTCGCATCCAGGTATGATCCGACCAGGCAGATGAGTATGTTTTTTGCTGAACTAATCCTGAAGCGGAACACATCCGTTTGTTGAGATTCGCAGTGCCTCGCTGAGTAAAATTCTTATTGATTTGAAGTACAAACCTTGACGCTCGAGCGGATCTGAGACCCCCTCGAAAGGGCAGGGGATTTCCGTTAAATTTTTGAAAAGTTGGTTGATCTTATTTTTAGGTCGACCAAATTGATTATCCGAGTTCTTTCAAAACTTCATGCAGAAAGTATAAACAGCACTTTTTGAAATGTTATGACCAAAAAATTCAATTGTTTGGCGCTCGCTCCCCTTCAGAAATTGTATGTTGGTACCAAATGCGCTTTGCAAAAAATTTTACCCCCTCCCAAAAAAAAAATCCGCCCCTGGTTGACGAATGTTTTTCAGTTCTTTTTGTGTTTTTTTTCCAAGGGGTCATCACGCGGACATAGGTGGAATAACCCCTGGCTCCATGCCCCCCTTCTCCACCCAACTGGCGGAAGAGGGGGCTGTGTTTGAGACATTCAAAGTAGTTGAAAGAGGAAAGTTTCAAGAAGAAGCACTCGTCCGCAAACTGGAGGAACCGGCGAATAAGGTTGTCGGCTCCAGTGCGTCACGAAACATACGAGATAACATTGCGGATCTGAAGGCCCAGATAGCGGCTAACAACAAGGGAATTGGACTCATCAAAGATTTGATTAACGAGTACAGTTTGGAGGTGGTACAGGTAATATTTGAGCTTTAAAATTTATTTTTAATTTTGGAAAGCTTTCATCATCATCAGATAGAATGTATAAAAGAGATAGTATAGCCTTATTGATAACCTTATGTTTTTTCATTTTTTCCAGGAAAAGTCAGAAATTGTTCAGGCTCAAACTGATTTTTCGCGGTTTGACTTCTGGTTTTGTTTAAAATTCAGTTCATTTCCTTCAGTTCATTTCCAATACCATCGAACAACATAAGTGTAAAGGTCACGAAAAGCGTGCTCGACTTCTAGTTTCGAAAATGGATTTTAATTATTAGATTTACCAGCGAGATAAAAAAAAATTACCTATCGATCCAGTTTTCTCAAATTGTTCGTGAAATTCAAAGAGCCTTAAGGCCATATTCTTTTTGTTTGAAAGTTCTTCGTTTTTTAGGCGTACATGGAGCATATAAGGTCAAATGCTGAAGTGGCAGTGAGAAATGTCCTAAAAGAGCTACACGCGCGGACGGGTGGCAAACCGCTGACATGTAGTGACAAGTTGGACAGTGGAGCGACGATACAAGTGTCCATTGACATCAACGGACAAGATGGCAGTGCCACGATTGACTTCGAAGGGACCTCGCCTGAACTGCACGGGAACCAGTGTGCTCCGAGGGCTGTCTGCATGTCCGCTCTCATATATTGTCTCAGGTGAGAGTCAACCAGCCGAAGAAAACGTCATTTGGATGGAATTTTGCAACTGTTACATCATTATTATGTAACTGCTCCGTATTTTTGGTTAGTTTATATGGCAGATGGTTCATACGTACTTTGGCTGGCTTTTATACCACCTTTTCACGGTAGTCTAAATAGGTTGTAGATAAACCATCCGATGTGTAAATCATTTACTGTACAAGCCAACTGAAAGTACGGAATGGTTACATAATAATGATGTAACAGTTAAGGATTTCTGCCCAAATGAGGTAACCTTCGGCTGGTTCATATGCTCTTGTTTAGTTATTTATATCAATTATATGTTTAGTTTACTGAATTTACCTCTCATACAGCTGTTTCCAAATTTTTCCTAGCTTATTTTTTTAAATTTAAAATGTTTCTTCTTTTTCAATTTGTTACTTAAATCAGGGTGGTCGGATCATGCTTGTTTTGTATCGTTTATTTGTTAAGCAGCGTCACAACAGCGGTTCTCCGTAAGTTCTGAACAGCTCGTATGTTGATCCTTTCCCTCATGGATAAATCGTCTTAATCTTTATAAATAAAAGCCGCTGAAAAATTCCTGATTGGTTGAAAAACATCACCACTATATTAAGGAGCTAATAGCTAATAAGGAGGCCAATATATATTCTGAGCTGTAGTCCAGAATTATAATTCAATTTGCAGAAAACAGAAGATTTCGGGTAACCGAGGAATAAATAAGAAATTATTCCTAACAACAAGATACAATATTAGCAATAACACCAAGATAATAGTAACATTATCATTCTATATTTGGCTGATTTAGGTCGCTGGTCAAGTATGACATCCCCTTGAACCAGGGCTGTCTGCAGCCAGTTGCAGTCCATATTCCCCCTCGCTGTCTGCTGGACCCTGGACCCAACACAGCTGTAGTGGGTGGGAATGTGACTACTTCCCAGCGCATAGTGGACGTAGTGTTGCGGGCATTCGAGGCATGTGCCGACTCACAGGGTTGGTCAGGAAATTTTGATCAACAACTGTTACTCGATGTTATTTATTAATCAAGTGGTAAACTGCGGCCCGCCGTTAAAAATTCAATATATAAAAGAACTTTCATGCATACTTTTAAAATCTTAGTGTCTTGTATATACTTGTTTTTTGTGTCTATTCTTTCATGTCTGTTCTTTATAAGCGGAGGAATAATTAACTATAGTTAATTTTTTTCGCCGAATAAACGGGCCAAAACATCTATTTCGCGGCATAAAAGTTTGCCCTCGAACAAGCAGCTCGCTTTGAAAACAAACGTTTTTTTACTAGCTGTGTTCACGTAAAAGCTTAAATTGGCGTTTTTAAATTAACAACGTTTTTCAGAAAAAAAATCATTCTAAGTAAAAAAAAAATAAAACTACCACAAATTTGCTTTTGTTAAGTGTGGTGTCGCTTAGGCTGCATGAACAATGTGACCTTCGGCAACAGTGGTTTCGGCTACTACGAGACAGTGGCGGGAGGGGCGGGGGCTGGACCCACCTGGGAGGGCAGAGGGGGCATCCACACTCACATGACAAACACCCGCATCACTGACCCGGAGGTGCTGGAGAAGTACTACCCTGTCATACTCGAAGGTTCCCATCCTCATAATTGTCTATTTTTTTCTGTTTTTTAAAAAAATAAATTGCTTGCTTATTTGAAAAATTCAAGGAGGATTTGGAACTCAATTTGCAGCGAGTGCCGAATGTAGAGCGAAGGAGAATACTAATTTCCCGGCCTGGAATTTCAGAAATTTGACCCCTTGCTGACCGAAAAGTACTCATCCAAAACTTCAAGGTTTCAATATGAAAGTTTTACTGATAAAGTGCGCAAAGAAAAAGCAGCTATTGCATGTTTTCAGCATGTTGAGGAGTAAATATTCTGACTAGTTGTTTTCTCTGTGATTTCTGAGCGGAAGAATAATTTGTCAAGAGTCGATTTTTTTTTACAGCTTTCCACCTCAGAGCCGACAACTCGGGCGGTGGAGGTCAATTCAAGGGAGGCGAGGGTGTCATCAGACGAATGAAGTTCCGAGAGCCAATCACGCTGTCGTTACTCACCGAACGACGAGTTCTGGAGCCGAAGGGACTCGCGGGCGGTGGGAATGCAAAATGCGGCGAAAACATTTTGATTCGGAGCGACAGTTCGATGCTGTTTTTGGGACCAAAAACCTCAGTAGAGGTCAAACCCAGAGAAACTTTGTTGCTGAAAACTCCAGGCGGAGGAGGTTACGGCGAACTAAACTGTCGTGAAAATCGTCACGTGAACGAAAAAATCGATGAAAAGTTAACAGAATATAAAAATTCTCTGGTGAACTCAAAGGGAAGTGTGAATGAATACAAACTTATACAAGAATCGGCATGAACAATCTAAATTATTATTTAAGTAGTAGAATTTGAATATATGCAGTTAAATTCCAATTCATGGATTTCATACTGTCTAAGAGTCGATGAACGTCCGAACCTTAAAAAAAAATTTCCCGGCTTAGTTTAATTTCATTTTCTTTTTGATGAGGAAGGCAAACTCCACAATCGAGCAGCAAGTGTTGAGATCACAACAGACGTGGTGGATTTTAGTTTTCAGAGTTTCCATCCGAATAAAAAGTTTATCAATTGATACAGTTTTCTCAGTAGTCAATCATAAAACGTCTACAAATTCGAAGAGCTCTAAGGCCATCAATTTTTTTAAATTTATTTTCTTTAAAATTCGAAAGCTGAGAATTTTCGAAAAAAAAACTATTTTCTAATACTGTTAACTTCATCGACTCTTTTCCAACTGTCTTTTGGCTATGTTTGAAAAATTGTTCTGATATTTATAATTTTTTGAAAGATGTGTAACTATTCAAAAAGCTTAAATCTTGTATCAAATTTTATTCATATAGTGATGTATTGATCGATAGTAACTTTGATTTTATTTTGTTCCGACTGGTTTGCTCCGACCTGGCGAATTTCGATTTTTCAACTAGCCTTTTTTGCTGATTTCTTTTTACTATCTGGGAAACATAGGTGTCCAAAGCTCTAATTAGAAGACGATTATCTTTTGATGATTTGTTCTGAAGTTATGCTTTTTAAATTTAGAAACGAAAGTCTTAGTTCAAAATAAGCATCAGATGATTGAAAAATAAGCAGATAAAGCAACCGGACTGATACGTGTTGCATGTGCTCCAAACCGAAGGCAAAAACTGTTCATGAATTGTTTATCGGCTAGCGACACTAACATCTACCAGTCGCCAGGCCACAGAGATACATAATTTTTTCTCTCTGTTGGTGTTGTTTTTAGTTTTTGACACAAACTTAATAATTTGAGAATCACCAAGGATCATGCAGAAAACTATACAGCCTATCAAGGCATGACCCTGGAAACCCTAAGAGAAAAGTTGCAAGATAATATCGGACTTGAACAGCTCGAATAAAAAAAAATTGTTTGAAATACTTCTTCTAGATTCGACCGTTTTTTTGAGTTTAAATGAAACTGCTAATTTTTTTCGTTCATCTTAAAAATGGCTTTGTTTTTTTGGAGAAATCAACAACTTTTGATGTGGACGAGTATTTAAGGGTGTTTTGGTTATACACCTTCCACCTAGAAAATCAAAGACAAAACCCAGCCTTAAACTGGCTGGGGTTTGTCTAATCTTCGCAGTTTTCTCTACATAATTTTCAACAGATTCAACCAAAAGCATTTCAATTGTTTATTTTTTGCTTTTTGGACACTATTTTAAGCTGTTCTACGGCCTTCGAATTTTTTAGTAGGAAGATTTTTGACCTATTTATTTTGCAATTTTTCATTTTCTCAAATTTTAAATGCACAAATCTGAGATGAAGGTTTCAATCAGCCAAAAAAATTAGGGGGATTTTCCCTTCTCAAGCGGTTATTCCCTAAATTCGATAGAAGAAATTCATCAAACAAGCCCATTTTTTGACAATTCGGTTTTGAAAAAATTTTCTTAAAATTTACCCTGCCAAATCGGAGATTAGGGGTATAATCGAAAGCAAAAATCCAGTCATGTGAATCGTTCCTGCGCAAGCGGAAATGCCTTGCTTGTTGAAAAACACTCTGGCCTTTGAAAATGTCCAGTTTTGAAATTTTTCCTGTTTTGTTGGAAACTACTGTTTTTCATCAACAACTAACCTGCTAATTCTGAAGTTGGTAGTTCATTCAACCTAACATGAATCTTAGATTTTTTCTGAGTAATCTGTTTTGTCCTAGTTTTTTGTAGAAAGCCGATATGAACTTCGGGAAAGTCCGTTTTTTTTTGAAATTTCTACCGTTTTTTAATGATTTTTCTCACTATTCTCGAAAACTACCAGCTAGAGCTGATATTCAAGATTCAATCTAAAATTTTGGGCGTAAAAGTTTTCCCTGCATAAAAGGTTATTCCCATGTTTTATTTGAGAAAATTTTATGGATTTAGAAACAGCCAAGTGTTTCGAATGTTTTTCACTTTTTTCGGAAAGTACTCAGCCAAACTCGAGATGAGGATTTCAATTGAAAGAAAGGGTAGTAATTTTCTTCTTCAAATAAGCAGCTAATCTCTTACTTAAGCAGAGATATTTATTAGGGTTTTGCGTGAAGTCCATTGTCTTGAAATATTAAAATTTATGCATTTCCGTATCAATGCAGTATATGATTGAAAACATTAAAACAGGTACATCCTGCATCAGCTGGGCCACTAGTTTTTTCCAAGTGATCGTGGCTTAGATGGGAGAAAGTGAGTGACACTCATAATCATCAGGTCGGAGATTCAAACCCAGAACGTTGAAATAGTTTTATTCTTTTGCTTGAGTTTTTACTGTTTTATTGGTGGCTAGTGTTAGTAAAATTACAAGCAGTCGTGGAGCAGAAGTTAGAAAGTGCTATTCCTTAACTCGAAATTGATATTTAAAGTTTTCGTCAAGGTGTATTTTAAATTTTTTCCTTTTTCCTTTCACTTTGTTTTGCCTTTTAAGAGTTTTTTTTTACATTTTCCTCGCTTGTGTTTGCGAAGCGAAGTTTCGCCTCTGTGTGTGTCATCTTTGGTACAATTATGGTAGTTTGATAATTACCAACTCAACTCTTTTCTGGTCTGATTTTTTGTTTTGCCTTTTGGAGAAAATGACATTTTCACTTGGTTTTTGTATTCCAAGGTTTTAATTAGCCGTTTCGACAGATTTTTTTAAATAACTCTCCGAGAATCTTGACGCGTTGGTAAATGTATGGTGTTTGAAAACTGCCTGTGTTGCGCAAGTTTTACTGGCGAGTCAGATCATTTCAAAATTAATTGATGTTAATTTTTGTGTTCGAGATAGCTTGTTACTAAATGAGAAAGATATCATTTTGTACTTGGCAATGTGTTTGTGTGTGGATTGGGGGGGGGGGGGGTGGGAGAGGTATATTTAAGAGGGCGATATATTTTGCACCCGAATGCATTCCAAATTGAATTGAAGCAAGGTATTTGGTCCCATTAAACTCCTAGTTGACTTCATTTATGAAATTTGTTGCGTGATACTTTGTGTGGGGGATGAATGAAAACTTAAATACTTGTTTACAATCTGTTTTAGACACGTTGGAGTGCATTCGGAACGTCAAAAGCTTTTCCCTTTGACACTAGCAGAATTTTTTTCTCAAATACGTATTTGTTTTTTTTGTTTATTCGATTTGCAACCGAATGCACTCACCTTTGTTGCTCGTCAATATCTTTCCAACTTGCCTAATTATGTTTTAGTTGGATTTTGGAACCTGATAATTATAATCAATTGATGGCAATTTAGATTCTAGTCACTAAAATTTAGAATATTTAAATGAAATCTAAGCGCGAGAACGCTGTTGCAACTTTGCAGTCCGGCTTCAGGCGTCTCGTGCCATCGAATTTTCATCTGTCTGATTAGCTTTTTTTCCTGACGCTAGACGAAATTTGGATAAAATTGAGTGAATAGTGAAATTGTTGGCGACTTAGCTTCTTCTACTTTAAAAGGTTTAATCAGGAAACACTTTATTCAGACAACATCATCAATTATAACTACAAATTCAAAAAATAATCGGAATAAAGAGCTGGCAGAAGATTAGTATGCTGAAAATATATTGAACAGCATTTCGTTTTTTATTGGTACTGAATAAATACAAGCTCAGCGAAGCATATTATTTGTTTCTGTGACACATAAATGGAGTGGGGGAGGGGGGCTTTTTTTAAGTTAGAGTAAACGTTTTGAAAGTTTTTAGGCCAGTGCGATCAATCTTCATGCTGTTGAAACCCCCCAGTAATTAAACAATTTTCGTATTTATTACCTAAAAAAATTAATTGGTGATCATTCGCAAATGTATAAAATATTTAACTGATAAACCAATTTACACTCCAACGTGAACAGTTGGTTAAGGTCAATGTTTAAGTCCAACATTAAACATTTTAATTCTCTCTTAATTTGCTCTCTCAGAATCAAATATTGCAATACAGTTCAGTTTAATTTACTAGTTTCTGGTGGGCCCAAAAGGTTCTTTTTGAACTGCTTAATTTTTGAAACTTTCATGCCTTTGAGATGAACGCACACACTATAGCGTGTGTTCTTTTCCATGAAGTCAACGTTGTAACAAAATGAGCAGTTGAAAATTTTAGGCCCGCCAGAAACTAGCAAACTCATTCAAGTTGCACCGCAACATCAAAACCTGAGAGAGTACTAACCCAGCTGTACTCTAAAGGAAGCTTAGATATAGCTATTTAATTTGTTTTTACTTCATAACAAATATAACGGGAGAGAGAATTAGAGAGAAATTGTCTGGAGCTGATTTATATGAGATCCTTTACTTTCTACGATTATGTACAGGACACCAGATATAAACAGCTTTTTACCGATGGGCAATGTAAAGATAAACTCTGAAAACTAGGTGTTTGCGCCCAAGTAACTGTGAGGAGGAGGCGAGCAGGGTGTAGGTAGGAGAAAAACATGAAAATTAAAAATTTCATTACCGTTTTTTTTTCATTACGAGACCAAACTGTGCACTGGATAGGCGCACAATTTTTTTGTGTCTGTAAGTTCCTGGATTCCAGAGACAAGCTTTTAATCAGGTTAAATTTATAACGGAACAATCAAAGAAAATGAAAGAACAAAGAGAGCGTCATTGTTGCGGAATCCGCAAATCACGAAATGCACAGTTTGTCCTCGTAATGTTACATTTATAAGTAGTATAGTAAAAGTGGCTAGGAAAATGACCACTTTTAACCCCCCCCCCCCCCCCCCAAAAGTTCGGTGTGCCGATGTACTTACCACTTTTAACCCCCAAAGGGGTTAAAGCCCCTACTTTTTCGAGCACGCATGTTTTAAGGGGGGTTAAAATTGATAATTTTCCAGCCACTTTATGGAAACGGGAATGGAATTAAGTTTTGGTTGGTGCATGTTTTCCTTTTGACTTTGACAGTTCAAACTTTACTGCGCGCGTTATATTGTGGATTATTTTGTAATCTTTATCGCCATGTGTGGAATTAAATAAGATGCTGTGATATTGGTAAGTTTATATTGTTGTTTTGAATACCCCCCTCCCCCTCACGATTAGAGTTGTTGATTATTTCACTTTTCGGTCAA